AACTTCAGACAGGGGGGAGTTGTAACAGAAATGAAAAATTGGCGCGATGAGTTTTTACATTAATGACGTGATGATGTTTTATTTCAACTCGAAATGTTTGTTCCATTTAGAAAATATTAATTAATTTGTTAAAATTAACAATGAATATTATTAAACGTGAACTTAAACCATCATTTTATGTAAAAACAATCTTGTAGAGAAATGATTTTAATTCAACATGAAAATAGCACAGAACATGTTTCGAAAACAATTTAAATCTTGTATGATAATATTTGTTTTTATTTAACCACTAAAAGCTTATTACATCTAAGTAATCAGTTAAAATATGCAAACCGTGCGATAGTGAAACAAATCCCACTCGTTTGGAATTTTTGACACTTTTGTAATTCTATAATTATAAAAATCATGTCCCAATGAGATGCAAATTCATTTCGTGGCAGAAGCATCATAATCAAGCCACAAGAAAAAGGTGTCATTCATTTTTTACCAATACTGCAAGTTTTTTTATTTCTTCATTTCTAAAGTCAACTCATGATAATCAATTCTAGCCATACAGTAGGCTAGTATGCAGTGCAGTTGCAGTGCAATCCAGTTCAGTATTATCTCCGTTTCAGCTTTTAATATTCAATCCATGTCTACTCAGTTATTTTGCGCACACATTCCAACGTTTGTCGTTGAATTTAAATTTCAAACATTAAATTTGCCGGTTAAACACCGACTTGAAATTCACTTTTAAATTTTCACTTGAAATTGAAATTTTTTTTCATCTCCAAAATTTCTTTGACACAAAATTGTTCTACCAACTGGCCCATTCCTCACATTAGGCTTCATTTCTCCGTTCCTTGTTTCTAAATTTTGAACAACTGAATTTTTTATAACTGCTTCAACCTTCAAGCTTATATTTTTTAACGCCCGCAAAATAAACGGATCAGAATGGTCAAATCACACGAACTCAACTTCACTGACCAACTACGCTGGCTATCAATTCAACAACTTATTACTTTTAAACCTGAGCTCACTAGACACTTGAAAAACCACAACCACCTGATTTTTAAAATCTTTACACACTAGTCGCCATCTTCGATCGTAGGCTACTCAATAAACTTACATCAGCCTGCCCTGCTAACCACGGACTCTTCTATCCGCGAACGACCAACCCAGAATTTTACGAGCTAGTCCTTTTGTTCATTTTCAACCTCTTTTTTTGTTTCGTTTGATTTTTTGATTTTCAATTTTATATCCACTCTGAAATGTTCAAAATTGAATAAAAAATGACATAAACCTTGAAAAATATTTCAAGTTTTCTTTTTTAGTTTTCCTGTTATCACCTGAGAATTACATTCATTTGCGTTTCATTTTAATTGCAAATTGAATTATTTAGTAACGTTTTATTTTCAAATTTTACATTTGAAACGCTCCGAATGGAAAAACATCAAAATGAAAGCAAACAAACATTTGCATATTGCGGGATAATGATGAGGAACGTTCTGGTGTTGGTGCTCGTGCAAACAATTATGAATACTTTCATTTATGTTCAGAAACTATCATTCAGTGCTATTTTTTAGAATTTTCTAGTTATATAAATATAATTAAATATATAATTTATTCAAATATAAATACAATTATTTATAAAAATCACTGCGTTTTTGGCATTATTAAACTCAAATATAAATATAAATAATGGCTAGGTGTGTGATTTTAAAATTGAACAAAACATGACAGCACGGCAGAAAGACTAGCAAATAAATAGAAGATAAAAATTATAGTCTATCGTTACTTCTTTAACTTATTTCCCATGATTTAAGAATAATTATTTCTTATTCGATTTTAAACTTTTACTGAATTTTTTTTCTTCATTTTCATCACGGAAGAGTTGTTGGTGGTGATGTTTTAACGAGACATGAGCGACAAATGTGCAGATTAATTTAAGTGACAAGTTCACCAATCTCTCTTTCTCTCTCTCTCTCTCTCTCTCTCTCTCTCTCTCTCTCTCTCTTTCTCTCGGGTTTAGCAACGTAATACAACTGACAACTGTTACATTTTGCACTTATGGTGTCGATGTGAGCTTTCAAGTTGGGGTTTGGTAGTCTGTCATGGCGGTGGATTGGTTGACGTGCTAGGATATTTACATTTTCAGACCAGTCAACAAAACATTTTTTAATCTGTTTATTCGTTTTTTCACAGTTAGAAGAAACTTAACGATACAACATATTTGAAAGTGTTAAAACGTCATAAAACTAATATTTCAAAATTATATTTCAACAGATTTTCTCATCAAAAAATTGTAAATTTGTTATTCCACCCTTACAACATCTACTATTATCTTTTCCACATTTAAAAAAATCTAACACAGAGACATATAGTCTAGCCATGTTCACTTTTTCAAACTTTATGTGCCGGTTGGCTACCAGGGTCCTAGTCTGTGGCAATTTGAAACCTGTCCCCGTAATTACAAACAAATTTAATTTGAAATTAGTTAGTCCAGTGGAATATAAATCTCTCATCACGCTGCACGTACATATTGGCAGCGCGATGGCGTAATGGTTAAGGTGCCTGGCATTGTTGACGCAGTGTCCGGGTTCGAATGTGAAGAAATCCCCGCCCATCACAAGCAAAAATGTCTTATGCCTTGATTTACGTGTATATGTAAATTGTGCGTTCGTTGTAATAACCTCTGAGAAATATCTATAAGAGGGAATAATATGATATTAATATCAATAGTATAATAATATCAATAATCATTTATTATACACTGAAAAAAACTGAAAAAAAGTTATTTTTGATACCACGAGCAATTAGTGAAATAAATTTATCAATCTGCCAACATGTCAGCAAATGAAACGATCGTTGCACAAGCCAGCCATCAACAAAGCAAAAAAATTAGAAACAACTTTCTCGCATAGTAAATTATTTTCTGCCTCCATCTATCAATCAACACAAGACGTTGGCTGGCTCTGATGAATGCATCCGTTGTTTAAATTTTCTTAGAAGAGAATAAGACCTAATATATTGAAGACAAATAATCTCAGACAGTAGGATTGAGATGTGTTGCGTTTAGGTTAATTTCAGTTTTGGAGTCGGATCCAATCGGAACTAGAGATTCTTTTGAGGGGTCGAAGTCAAATACTTTTCATTCAACTCGGGAAAATGTTAAGAATAAGAACATTTTTATTTTAAAAATAAGTTTATAAGCTCGAAAATAAATGTGCATATATTTCATATTTTTTTTAATTATTAAAAACACTAATATTTGTGAAGTGTCTTTTATTTTGTATTGAAGTAAAATTATGAAGCAAAAAGTTGGACAATTTTTCTGACAGTTGGGATTGGGATTGTCAGAATTGGATTGGGATTGGAACCAGGAGTTGGGATTGGAGTCGAGAGTCGGAAATTTTCACCCAAAGATAGAAACATTTGACACAATGGCTGTAATTTAATTATTACGCTGTGGCCTGGTTCGAGTCCAGTCGTACCCGAATAAGACATTACATCCAAATGTGAATACCCGCCACGTGATGTAGTGTGTATTTATTATTGTTGTTATTATTATTGTCCATCACCCTAATAACTATTATTATTATTATTATTATTATTATTATTATTATTATTATTATTATTATTATTATTATTATTATTATTATTATTATGTTTTCTTTGTTATTTCTTGTTGCTTTTGTCAATTGTTGTCGTTTGTTTCTGCTTGAGTTGTCAGTTGTTGTTGTTGTTGCCATTATTCCCACGAAGATGAAATACGCGAGGTCAAACAAACCCTGAGAAGTTCAACCAGCTTTTTACGGAATTCTTAAGCCCGGTTGTGTACGTACGTATGGAAAGCGCTGTACAAACAAACATGACAAATAAACATTATCCCACACGATACATTGTACAAACAAAACACACGACCATGCGTCCATTGACACTCTTCCACCCGTGTGATTGTTTGTTTGTATTGTACACGCACATAAGCGTGCATATGTACGTGAAAAAATGTTTTAATACTTTAGCGCATATACTTTAACATTTATACTTGTATATATACATCATTGTATATGTATGCATTATGTATGCCAAGGTATATATAACATATGTGTACAACGTACAACGTACATATGTGCCAAGTACATGAGATAAGTTTTTGAACGAATGAACGAATGAACGAAAGAACGAATGAACGAATGAACGAAAGAACGAAAGAACGAATGAACGAAAGAACGAATGAACGAAAGAACGAGTGCTCGTATTGTATTGATCGTCTCCTGCAACAACAACACAGCAAGCAACAATGAAAACATCATTACCATTACAGCTGTTAATATCATCATCATCATCATCATCATCATCATCATCATCATCATCATCATCATCATCATTGTCGTAATCATTATCAAAACTCTCATCTATTTCATCGCCTAGATCGTTACCATCATCATCCTCATCAATTTCTTAATTGTTGTTATCATCATCATTATCACTTTATTATCGTTATTGTACTTGCTATACTTTTTATTATTATTATTATTAACTTCACAATGAGCAAAATGGTCTTAACCTTTAATATTATTTTAAACAATTTTTAAAAATTTTATTAATTAACATTAACTTATATATATATATATATATATATATATATATATATATATATATTTATATATATATATATATATATATATATATATTTATCATTGTATGTTTTTTTATGGTAAAAAATAAAAGATGTTCCCATTAGTGATATCAGTATTTTCAGTTCTTACATCTAACCAGCTTTTTCTTTAGCAACATTCATCTCAAGACAGTTCTAAGAACATCTAGATTATTATTATTATTATTATCATCATTATTTTATTTTATTATTATTATTATTATTATCACTATCGTTATTATCATCATCATAATTTCCACCGTTTTATCATAAAAATCAACTCACCACTATCATCATGGATACTATCAGTTAATAATTCGTAGTAGTAAAAATAATAATAAAATTGATAATAATAACAATTAATTAATTAATTAATTTAAATTGATCACACACTGCTAGGCTGCAAGAATTTTAATTAAAAATAGTGATTGGTTGAGACTTAATCTCAGATTCTTGTCTTATTCAATGAAGATGAGATCTGACTATACTTAGAAACTATTTATTAAATAAAAATGAAAAAAAAACTCATTTGAGATATAAGAGTGACAAGAAAATTTAAAAAAATTGAGAAATAGCGATGAACAGCGGTATTAGGCGTTGTTTTTGTGTACGAATTATTATTGTATTTCTGCCTGCTTCATTGTTTTCCAATGAATGAAATATCGCGTCAGTCATTGATGGATTGAATGAAGTGCATTCTAATAGAAGAAAGTAATAGCACGATTGACTATTTGGCTTCTTCAAACTTGCCTCTTCTCTATTGATTGTTTACATTCATCCGTCTCATAATATTTGTCCGCCAGCGTCGCGTTATATTTCCGACAAATTTACTGCAAGTGTACAAACGTACGAAGTTCATCAACCAGAATATACAACTTTTTTCTACAATCATCCTCTCCATTTTGAAAGTTTCTAATCAAGAAAATTAGCATCGATGTTCCTTGCTCTTCCATTTTTTGTTTCAAAAACCAGCGAAGCAACGTAATATTAATAAAAATCGTCACTAAACGTAAAACAGCATTCGGACCTGTTGACGTACGCCTCAAGAAATTCTTTTGAAAGACTTCCCAGCCGACGCAGAAAGATTTCACAAAATTTTGATTTGGCTTATTTAAGTAGTTAACAAAAATGTTCAAACTTATATAAATGTTAAAACTTATACGACGAGTTTGCCGCGCACACAAGCGCATCACCACACGTGGCCACATCACCACACGCGGCCACATCAGTGACGGCTACGGAGAAACATCGACTTAGCGTGCAAGTAAACAAAGGAAGATATCACAATCGAGTAGAAGCTTCCGAATGCAGCCAAACAATGAATCGTTTGTCTTGCATGTCGTTCAAAGCGTTAGAGTCCGTCTGGTGGCTGGCTGGCTGGCTGGGCAGGATTTTAACGATTGGGAGGAGAGGACACTTGTTGGCTTGCATGCTTCCGTGTTGGCCAGTTTCATTGCATGTTTGCGACCTTGCAAACTTACATGTTTTTATACATTACAATACAAATACCCTTATGCTTACATAATTACATATAATTGTTTTCAAATCAGGTGTTGTAATATTTGCACTGCAAACGCTGTCAGGTCCAATCAGGTACAATTTCGATTGAATATATTAGGCAAGAAACAATTAAAAAGTTATGGACTATGTATGTCGATAAATCCTAATGAAGGCTGACAACAATTCACTTGATGACAATTTAAAAATCGTAATAAACAGTTGAAAAAATTTCGTCTATCCCATCTTTGTATCTATTACAGAAATCACCAACTTCTTCGGGTCAACGTTCGGCGTCCGCGGGCACCGACTGAACTTTTGAATTAACGCCGTGCGTTTCGCGTGCGAATAAATCACGAACTCAACTTTTTGTGTAACCGTGGAAAAATGCTGAACTGCCGTTGAGTCATAATTATTTGTTCTGCGTTTCAACATTTGATCACGTTGATTCATGCTTGTGTATGTTTTGTTCATCCAGTGAACATACAAAACATTCAAACAGTTGTTCTTCTTATTTGCCTATCAATCCATCTATTCAGAACAACAACATTTTTATACATATAAGCAAATATATTACATATTAACATGTAACATTAACATATATAGCACGTATATACACATAGCATTTATGTATAGTATGTATGTATATATAATTGTATGTGTATATATGTTTATAGCATGTATAAAAATAACCATTTTCACAGAATCAATAAGTTGATGCCAAAAAATTATGCAGCGCAAAAGATAGACAGATAGGTGTGTGGATGTAATAACATGTACGTGCATTCACACATACATGCATGCACGGAAACACTGTACACTACACATACACATTCACACATACAAACATACATCTACAGAAACCCAAGTGTACACTACACGGTGTATGTGATAAATATGTGATGATGATGAGGAGCAAGTATTTATGTATGTACAATACAATGTATACACATACATACAAACACGCACACACATAAACATGTACACACTTACATTACATAACAAATTGTACACACACACACACAAAATGTACACACACGCACACACAATCTCGTACACATGTTTGTCATCTCAGTAACAACAGAAACATCCATTATTATCTTTTTCCGATCCGTACGTGTGCCGGCATTTATCAAACGAAGATGCCGAGTTGAATGAAGAAGTAAAACAGTTAAATGTTATAAAATTCATTATCATATAACATAAACATACATTACGTTATTATTTACAAACATACATACTAACACATACAAACACATACACACACACACGCATATATATATATATATATATATATATACAAATTATATATATATATACAAATTATATATATATATACAAATTATTTTTTATTTGTTGTTTTTTTCTGCATACCCACGAATCCGCGAATGTTTATAAACACGAAGGGATGAATGAGTATGCATGTATATATGTATGTATGTATGTATGTATGTATGTATGTATGTATGT